TGCAGTGCTGGTCTTGTTTTTACAAACTCTCTTAGGTTTTGCTTTTCTGGGAATATCTTGATCTGTCCTTCATATTTGATGGATAATTTTGCTGGGTTCAGTATTCTTGGTTGACAGTTATATATCTTAAGTTCATCATTTACAAATTCTACCTTCGAGCAAACATTTGAACATAATTCAGAAAAGTTCTTTGCCAGGAAATAAAAAGCACTGTGCTTCCTCTGTTATCCAGTCACATATTCATTATTGTCCCTGAAAGTCAACACCAGAAGCACATTTAACATTCATCTTTCTAGCAACATTATTTTGCTGGTACCATGTATATTCTATAAGATAATAGAGACACTCTCTACAGCTCTTTCTCACTTTCTTCAGAGATCTCAGCAGAATTGCCTATGAAGTCCATAATTCTACCTTTAATAGTGTGTGCCATTGAGTTGGGACCAATTCATAGCTGACTTTTCAGTGGGTTTTCAGAGGCAATAAATCACACAGGAGGAGATTGCCTGTCTTTCTCCTATGGAGCAGCTGGTGGATTAAAACCTTATACCTTTGTGTTGACAGTGCAATTCCTTACCACTAAGTCATCAGAACTCCCTTTAAAGGCTTTGACTATTCAGTACTTTAAAACTCATCCAGAATTTCTGAGCAAAATGATGGCTTATTCAGACAAACTTCACAATATCTCAACAGTAAAACCTCATTCTTCTTTTCAGTTCCTTGAAACTTGAGGGGATTATGTTGATGGTCTGCTGCTAGTCATTGCATTTTCAGTGGGCAGGTTTTTATTTTTTTTATTTATTTTTTTTTCTACTAGTTTAGAAAATTTGAATACAAGTAAGAAACAAGTTCTTTCAATTTCCCTCACCCCCACCCATCAAATTGTACAACCCAATGATTAATTCCCCCTCCCCTTGCACATCCGCATCCCTATGCTTCTGGCCTCTCCCACTGCTCCTGGATCTTTATACTCATTCTACAATAATGGTTTTGCACAATACTTATCCTTGTGGGACTGAGTTAGTTCACTCAACATAATGCTCTCCAGTCCCTCCCAAGTTAGGTAATAATTTACAAAATTATTACTCCTGTGTGCTGCATAGTATTCCTTTGTGTTAATGTACCATAATTTTTCAACCCATTTGTTTGTGGTTGGACATTTGGGCTATTTCCATGTTCTTGTGATGGTGAATAATGCTGCTATGAACATTGGTGTATAAATCTCCATTTGTGCCTCAGTTCTCATATACTTAGGGTATATTCCAAGTAGTGGAATAGCAGGGTCATATGCAATTTCTATGTTCAACTCTTTGAGGAAGTGCCAAACTGCCTTCCAGAATGGTTGCACCATTTTATAATCCCACCAACACTGTATAAGAGTTCCTTTCTCGCCACATCCTCTCCAACATTTATAACTTACTACCCTGTTAAACTTTGCAACTGTTACTGGAGTGAGATGGTACCTCATTGTGGTTTTGATTTACATCTCTCTTATTGCCAGTGATTTGGAGCAGTTCTTCATGTGTCTCTTTGCTACTTGAATATTTTCCTCTGTGAAAATTCTTTCCATGTCTTTTTAGTGAGCAGATTTTTAATAGACTGCTGTGTCCTTCCTCCTGTCTCTCTTAGCCTGTAAGCCCTATTGAAACTCATTGACTACAAGTGAGTCTGCTTGTCATCACAGCAATATGCAAGCCTCCAGTAGGAGAAACTAACAATAGCCAAGCCACATTTGGAGTGCAGCCTAGTAGGAGAGACTATGTGGCCTCTGGAAGGAGACACTTACGCCTTTGAGCTACTTTTTTTCCTCAGTAATCATATAGCTTGGTCCTTGCCTTGCCAATCTCTCCTCTGCTCTATTGTATTCCAGGCAAACCCTACACTAAACCGGCCTAATTTTTTTTTCTTTTGCTACAAAATGAAACTTTTTAGTTGTTGGTTATATTAGATAGGAGCCTTTTTTAAGAGATATTAACATTTCCAATAGTAGTAAAAAGAAAGAGGAAAATAATCTTGTTTTTAATGCACTGAAGGCATTTAGGCTGGTAGAAGAGTCTCTATTGTACAATATATTTATTTTGTTCAAATTATGACAGAAAATGTAAAGTGACAAAAATAGTTCAGAGCTAAAAATGTAAAATTGAAATTCAGTTGAAATATTATAGAAGTTGAAAGAAACAGTTATGTTAAATTTTTTTCTTGGAAAATAAATACATGACAAAAGGAAAAGGAAACACATTCACTTTGCAAATAATTGGTTACTTAAACCCAATTAAATTCTATTCTTGAGTGTTTTAATGCTGCATAACAAAATCCATCCATTCCTAAATGTGATTGTAATCACAGGCTTAGAAGTTCAGAATTACAACACATTTTAAGGGGGAGGGAGACACACAATTCAATCCAAAATAGTGAGTACTTGAATCACCTATTGCTGCTGTAATATATCACCACAAACTTGGCAGCTTAAAACAGCACCTCCTTTAACACTCCCACCAGCAGAGAATAAGGGTTCCAATTACCTCCAACCTCACCAGCTTTTATTGCTTGCGCCTCTGTTGAACTTTGCTATTGTTGCTGGGGTGAGATGATAATTAATAGCTGTTTTGATTTGCATCACTCTGATGGCTAAGGATTTTGAACATTTCTTCATGTGTTTGTTTGCCATCTAAATGTCTTCTTTGATGAAGTGTCTCTTCATATCCTGTGCCCATTTTGCAATTGGGTTGTTTACCTTTTTCTTGTTGAGATGCTAGAGTAATCTATAAATTTTAGATAAGAGTCCCTTATCAGATATGTCATTACCAAATCATTTTTCACAGTCTGTGGCTAATCACTATGGAAGGCGATTTGGCACTTTCTAAAAAAATTGGAAATAGAAATACCATTTGATCCAACAATGCCGCTACTGGGAATATACCCTAAAGAAATCATAACCGCCATCCAAACAGATGTATGCACATTCATGTATAGTGGTGTGTTATTTATAATAGCAAAGAGATGGAAGCAAACCAAGTGCCCATTAACAAAAGAATGGATACAAAAACTATGGTATATTCACACAATGGAATACCACACAGTACTAAAAAACAGTGAACTCATAAAACATTGCACAGCATGAATGACTCTGCAGGACATTATGTTGAGTGAAATATCTCAGTCACAAAAGGACAAATACTGCACAGCAACACTGTTATAAAGCAGGTCTGACATAAGAGTTTGGGAGGAGAATAGGGTAAGAGTCAATACATAATGAACAGATAAAGGAAAGAACTGTTTAAAAGGAATATAATATTAGGCATTTTATGGAAAACAACAGCCCAGAATAAGAGATATACTGCAAAGAGGACTGGGGAGGGGGCAGGGAGGTAATTGTACAATAATGAATGGTATTTTTTTTCTTTTATTTTTTAAATTAACTTCAGTGAACCTTTACAAAGATTTTGGATTTCCATTCATTCATTGTTGCACCATTTTCCCCGCCCATCCCACCCCCACTCCCATTTTACTCTTCTCCTTGAAAAGTAAAAGAAAAACTCCTTCATTGGTATACAATCCCCCCTACCCCCCTACCCCCACCCCAAGTATACTCCACTCTGCAACCTTCAATGAATGGTTTTGTTTTTTTTTAAAGTGGACTGGAGGATGGGGAAGCGGGGGAGAAGGGGTAAAAATGTTCCACGCTGAGTGAATGAAAATCTAACTTTTTCAGTAAACTTTCATT